GGAGACTGTGCTATTTACTTTTGTGAGAACTGTACCCAGGTTTAGCAAAATACTGAACATTTTGCTATTTTCCTCACTGTTATCCCAAGATATTTGAACTAGTGTAGGAATGAAAGAATTTTCCACGCATCCCTCTTTTTAGGTATCATGTGTTTGATGTATTATTCATGTTAAAACCTACATATCTGTGAAAACACAACAGAAGAACCCAAAAGCATCCCATTATTTTTAAAATTTGGAGTCTATTCCACAAGTTGAAGTTCTAGATGTTGACACTTTGACCTTCCTGTTACCTGCCAACCAACTCTTCCCCCTCAGGGAGAATTCCTTATTATTCTGTTTATCTGTTTATGGAGTAACTTCTCGTGTTTTCTTAAGTGAGAGGCACTGAACTAAGAATGGTTCTTGTGGTACTCTGTCTTCTTGAAAACAGGAAAATGGGATAAAATCTAATTGAAATATTTTTGAAGTCTCAAAAAGAAAACTAGTTGGTATGATCTTAAAGTCCCAGGATGTTTTAAAGTTGCACTCTTGATTTTCAAATGTGTCTTCAAACTAGATTTCCAAACCTCCTAAGATGTTTCTGTCACTAAAATTGGATAGATTTGTGCATGTTACATATACAAGATTGTTTAGAAATTTCAGGATCATGTCTACAATTGATAAAGCTGCTACAAGGTAGTGATAATGGGGTTTATGGGATATAAACCACATAATTAGGTACTTCCGAAGTCACAGATATATGAAATAAAATATAGCACTTTGGAATCTTCGATCTGCTTCTTGCTTCTTTTTCCACCCCTTCTCTGCTTAACACTCTTGGTCTTTCTTCTGCTCTTTTTTATTTTCTGCCTCACCTTTGTATGTGGAGAATCCACGCCATATGTGAAAATAATAGTGCCTGCATGCGTGCTCAGTGACATCCAGCTCCTTGTGACCCCACAGACTGTGGCCTGCCAGGCTCCTCTGTCCATGGAATTTTTCAGGCAAGAATACTGGAGTGGGTTGTCATTTCCTCCTCCAGGGGATCTTTCCAACCCAGGGATTGAACCCGCATCTCCTGTGTTTCCTGCATTGGCAAGTGGGTTCTTTACCACTCAACCACCTGGGAACCTGCAAATAATAGTAATATTTAAGTAAAATTTTAGATTTATCTATATTTATATGTAAAAGAAATTCTGAATTACAAATTCCTTTAGTGTAAGGGTCCCTGATGAAGCAGAAATAGTGAACATTATATTTTATAATTTTTAAAGGATTCCCAGAAATGAAAAGAAAATAAAGTCAAAGCTGTTCTTACTGACTTAGGCTATAGGAAATGTAGGGCATTAGGAAAAGACTAGGTTTTTCAAAAATTAATTTTCTCCCTGTTTTCCTTCTCTTGTGATAGAAAGGCTCAATATTATAGCGAGACATTTTAACCCTGTAGGTCGTTTGTGTTTTGAATTTCTTTATGAAAATCTATAAGGGCAAAAGTAAAACAGAGTGTCATACATAGACTCATGTCTCTGAGAGACTCATTGGTGAGACAATTTCAAGATAATCAATTAGATAAGTTGCTTGTTTTTCATTAAATATTGATACAGTTATGACCTTCCAAATGGCCTACCTGCTTTGTTTGGTAAAGCATAGGTTTTTACAGGACCCTTGAGTGACCCTTTTAAATGTAAACTAGATAATGTTAACTCAAAACCTTCTAATGGCTTTCAATCTCACTCAGAATAAAATCCGGAGTCCTTTCAATGGTCTCACATGTCCTATACAGTGTGTATCTCATGTCCCACTGATCTCATTTTCTCTCCCTTCGCATCTTCAAGTTTGCTCATCCATCTGCCTGGAATGCTTTCCCCCCAGTATACGCCCATGTTCTCTTATCTCATTCAGGTCCTTGGTGAGCTGTCCCTTTCTCACAGAAATCTTCCTCGACTGTTTCACATAACCACTCTCCACTCAGACTCCTACCATTTCTTATTTCCCTGGCTTTATTTTTCTCCCTAGTACTTTTCAAAATATAACATTAATTATATTACATATTTATCTAGTTTTTAGTTGTTTGTGTTGTTTTATTTTTTCTATTCCCTACTAAAATATAAATCCAAAACTGGTAGACATTTCTAGTTATTAGTAATGTTTTTAAGCATATAAACAGGTTTTGGTCCATGGTATGGTCTCAGTAGATATTTGTGGGTGAATGCTTACTAGATGAGGAAGTCTTCTTTCAACAAAAACTGAAAGCAATCTGCCATTTCTCACTTAATATTGAAAAAGAACTAGGGACAGAGGAGAGCAGAACAGGCAAGATCACTGGTTGGATACCTATAATTAAAATTTCAAAAAAATGTTAGTCATGTAGTTTCATACTTTAGGGTATAATTATGAGAGAATCCTATCAGTTCAGTTCAGTTCAGTCGCTCAGTCATGTCCGACTCTTTGCGACCCCATGAATCACAGCATGCCAGGCCTCCCTGTCCATCACCAACTCCTGCAGTACCTAAATTAGTAAGTCAACTAATTGAAATTTCTCTTTCTATTTTGCTGCAGGAGACAGTGCCGTTACAGAGTCTCAGTCCACAGAACAGTGCCACATTGATTCCAGAAAACAGAATGTGGCTTGGAGGGAGTTTTGCCCCACACAAGCTAGTTGAGCAAAAACTGTATAAGCAGCTTTGAAGTTGCTTGGATTGGGTTTCATTCCCAACAAGCCATTATCTATGTGCATGTGATTAAGTTGATAGTGCTTTCTTAATTTCAGTTCTTTTCTTCCTTAATAAATGGGAATACTATCAGTGTTGCATTAGGTTCCTAGAATTGCTATAACAGACTACTACAGACCTGATGGATTTAAAAATTTAAGATATTTATTCTCTCACAGTTTTAGAGTCCAGAAGCCACATAATCAGTATTTCTGGTCTGAAATCAAGGTGTTGACAGGACCACGCACTTTCTGGAACTCTAGGTTAGAATTGGTTCCTGCCTCTTCCAGCTTCTTGTGACTGTTGGCATTCCATTGCTAATGTCTGCCTCTAGCTTCACATTGCCTTCTCTCCTTTTGTCTGTATTATCTCTCTCTTTCTTAGAAAATACAAGTGATTGCTTTTCGGGCCACCCAGATGGCCTAGAACCATCTCATCATCTCAAAATCCTAATTTAGTTAAATCTTCAAAGACTGTTTCCAAATAAGGTTCTGGGGATTAGGGTGTGGATCTGTTTCAAGGGACCCTTTTTTAGCCTAGTGCAGAAGTCCTCTAAGGATTGTTTTATATTTGATGAATTTAATAACTTCCCCTTTCCTTTTCCCTCCCTTCCTCTGGATCTGCCTATCTCCCATAGTGCTACCTCCTACCCTCAAGCTCTATAAAACTGAAGTAGGCTATGCCTGCCCTTGGCATACCCACTGCCTTTCAGTCCTTCCTCCCGTTAGTAGTCAAAAACATTTATTTATGAGTTATTGGGACTTTCCTAGTGGCTCAGAGTGTAAAGAAACCTCCTGCACTGCAGGAGACCCAGATTCAATCCCTGGTTTGGGAAGATCCTCTGGAGAAGGAAGTGGCAACCTACTCCAGTATTCTTGCCTGGGAAAACTAAGTATAATGCCCTTGACTTCAGCAGGATTTTTTTTTAAAAAAGAAAGAAATATTTTCTATCCATAAGTAGCTTACATTCTGGTATGGGAGGTGGATAGTTGAAGAGTCACTTGTAATAAAGAAAGAGAGTAGGTATATGATTAGCACAGAAGTATCTGCAATGAACAGGATGATAATGAAAGGATTAGTAATTGTTATTGAAAGGTCGGGACTAGAGAAATTATCTTGAAGCCAGTGAACTGGGCCTTGAAGATCAGAAGGATATGATGTTGGAAGAATTTTCAGATTGGAGAAAGCACAGAGGAGAACATTCCTTATTTTCTCTGGAAAATCAGTATCTTCCCACTTCCCTCTGGCTGCCCTAAACAGTCCCCTGGCTCAGCCCATCCAAACCTGCTTTTTTGTTAGAGCATCACATGAGGAAATACTCTCTTCTCTCAATATCCCCACAATTAGCTGCTTTAATCTGGGTATTAAAAGGAAACTAATGTGATTAATCTAATTCACTATTATGTTATGTGTGGCTGCGAGCTCCTCAAATCTCCTAGTCAAAAGAAGAGTTAAATAAATTTCTGTTGGGATTTTATGCCATGTAAAATTATATCCATGAAGAGTATGTTCCTAAATCACTTCTATTAAGAAAGATTACTGTAAACTAAGAAAATAATAAGCATAGAAAATATTTCAAATGAGAAAAATGCTTAATTAAGCAGCATAGATTCTGAGCTGTAGAAGACCACTTCATTATTTTTTATTCTCCATCATGCCAATGTTGTCAGGAGAAAAGAATTCTGCCTCCCAGTCTCATTCCTAGCCCATCCTCCAAAAAGAGAAAAGAAAAGAAAAAAAAAAAAAAACCTTGTTTTTAATCTTCTCTTCACATTTTCTAAGAGGCAACTTGGGAAGCAATGGGCAGAAACAAATCACGCAACCTTCCCCTTTTTTTCAGCTAATTCAGAATGAATTGGATTTACACAAGCAACAGTGCTTTAGCAAAACCGTTCCTATGGTTACACAGAAGGCTTTCTAAATGTGGCACAAGATGCAGGCAGCCAAAATGACTTGACTGTTTATGTTAAATATGAAGTCTATTCCCTATTGAAATTTAATGATCTACTAGCTGCATTTTAGCAGCTTGCACCCTGATAAAATTAACATTTTGAATACATTTGGAGAGATAAATTGCTTTAGCAATTGGCGAGTATTCACTCATTTTTATTTGATCACATCAGTGATTCAGATGAAAGCATTTCCCCCTGTACTATTAGAAATTGGGTCTACAAATTATCCTCATCTCTGGGCCTCTAAATCCCTGAACACATTTTATTATCTTTTTGCAGGTTAGCTGGTGCCAGATGTTAGACCTCACACTTGGGAAGAAAGCTCAAAAAAAAAAATTTTTTTTTTCTTTTATAGCAACCGAAGAGAATCAACATTGATTCTTGTTGCATCTCTCGAGCCATCCAGAAGTGCTCAAATCCAACAAGGTGAACAGTTCAGACGGGGTGAAGTCTTCCCTACCTCCTCCTACTTCTGCTGAATGAGAAAGACAATCTGTCTGTTTTGAAAAGCTGACAGGAAGTTGGAGCTGAGAAAAATATATTCACTGCATATTTTAGCTGACACCATTCAAATTTACGACATGAAGGCATTCCTTGATGTCTGTTACTAGGAACCTCCCGTTCAGCAAAAACAGAAAATAAAAGCAGCCTACAGGATGCCAATTTCATGTATTTTTTTATATGTTTAATTCAATTCAGCTAATATTTATTGAGCATCTGCTATAGACCAGGCATGTATAAAGGACCATGGCCATGGAAATAGACAGTGTTCCTGAACACAAACAGCCTTTGATCAAGTAGAAGAAATGGTGATAAATCATGTTATGTCAAGTCTATCTTCTCAATAGCTGACAATGTATATCTCCATATCATCTTTACCATCTTCCATCAATGTAATCGCTTCCCAGGTAGCTCAGTGTTAAAGAATTTACCTGCCAGGCAGGAGACTTGGATTTGATCCCTTTGTCAGGAAGATCCTCTGCAGAAGGAAATGGCAACCCATTCCAGTGTTCTTGCCTGGATAATCTCATGGACAGAGGAGCCTGACAGGCCACAGTCCATGGGGTCGCAAAAGAGTAGGACATGACATGACTGAGCAGCTGAGGAACAACCACCACCAAGACAAACATGCTACACAAAATAATTCTGTTAAAGATCTGAGTTATTAGGGAAGGTTTATTGTACACGTATCACTCAGAGTAGAAGATCCTGACACATTGTCCCTGAATCGCTCCTCGGTAAGGTCACCCACTGGGCGATTTCTTCTCCTTTCCCTCTTTCTCTGTGCTGTGCTATGCTTAGTCACTCAGCCATATCTGACTCTTTGCAACTCCATGGGCTGTAGTCTGCCAGGCTTGCCTGTCCATGGGGGATTCTCCAGGGAAGAATACTGAAGTGGGTTGCCATGCCCTCCTCCGGGGGATCTTCCCAACCCAGGGACTGAACCCAGGTCTCGTGCATTACAGGCAGATTCTTTACCAGCTGAGCCACTAGTGCAGCCTGAGAATACTGGAGTGGGTAACCTAACCCTTCTTCACGGGATCTTCCCAACCCAGGAATTGAACTGGGGTCTCCTGGATTGCAGGTGGATTCTTTACCACCATGGAAGAAATCCTCTTTCTCTGTAGAGCCCCAATTCACTGTTTTCTGTGTCCTTCCCCCAGAATCCCTCCATCAAAATAGGTTTATGCTCAGAAAAATTGTCTGCTTTTCAATTCAAGACCCAAGTCTTCGTTTTCTATAACCAAGAAGTATGAACCTTGTATTCTGATAGATGAATTAATTCTATGACATACAGCTACAACACATTTAAATCCCTGAAACACAGATTTATCAAAACTTCTGTAGCCTTCCCTTGGTAGAGGCAAAATATTTCATCCTAAATAGAAAATTAGACAAGTTGGACATTTAATAATAGTTTAATTATAATTTATCTCTTGAGATGAATGTACTTAACAAATCTGACTCTAGAGAATTTCAGTATGTTTGAGGAAATTTATTTTAAATTGGCAAGTAGAAATACATTCATCACATATTGATTCCCTTGTCAGGTTATTTCCCAAATTTAAGTTACCTCTTAGAGTGCTTTAATTAGTCATTCTAGAAGTGATTTCTTATGATCATTATTATTAATATTTTTGTTGAAAATTTTAGTAAATTTCTCCCTTTGGAACATTTATCAAGTGAATAAAAGATGCAAATGTGTCTTTTATTTTTGGAAAAAGAAAGCTTTAAGAATCTATTTGTTCTTTCAGAATAAGTTTAAGAGACTAGTATCCAAAATATGAGAGACTTTGTGAAATATTTGTCTAGGACTTTATAGATGATGTCCTGAAGTCTGACACTGTGTTTCAAAGGTGATCTCTATCTTTGTGAGAGAGTACATTTTAACAACTGAGGATAGTTCGGAGGAATTCTAGTTGGTGTTTTACAGCTTGGGGCATATTTTAGAGAAAACCTGCTCCTCCCACCCCGTTCAAAGAATATGAGGATTCCTGGGAAAGACCTGATAATTTCTTAGGCAAAGTACAGAATATTCTCCCCAAATTCAGCTTCTACACCATCTATTATTAACCAAAAAATTTCCCTTTTTCCCCCTTATTTGTGTTTAAAATGAGCCCAAACTCTATTAGAATATTGTTCTGATTAGAAATTTATTTCTAATAATTAGTGATATTGGACATCTTTTCATGTCCACTCCAATAACCATTTAAAAATTAATTTCTAGATCAAAAGTTGAGGTAGATGTAAGTTAGCTTCTCCTCAGAGAATAGTTCTTCATACAGCTCCATAAGAGTAGATCTTGGATAAAAAACCACAGAGTTGGTTCTTCATTCTATAAGAATGGCTCATGTAGGAGATGTGAATTTTTTAGTATAAAAGTGAAATTATCAAACTTGATTTTGGACAGATTGGAAGAAGATTGTTGTTGTTCAGTCATTAAATCATGTCTAACTCTTTGCTACCCCATGGACTGTAGCATGCCAGCCTTCCCAGCCCTTCACTCTCTCCTGGAGTTTGTTCAGACTCATGTCCATTGAGTTGGTGATGTCATCCAACCATCTCATCCTATGTTTCTCTTCTCCTCCTGCCCTCAATCTTTCCCAGCATCAGGATCTTTTCCAATGAGTCGGCTCCTTGCATCAGGTGGCCAAATTATTGGAGCTTCAGCTTCAGTATCAGCCCTTCTAATTAATATTCAGGGTTGATTTCCTTTAGGATTGACTGGCTTGATTTCCTTGCTGTCCAAGGGACTATCAAGAGTCTTCACTGGCAGCACAATTTGAGAAAAGGTTACAGAGGGCATCACAGAAATGACAATATGGGGTTATGAACATGAATGCCATGCCAAGTCAATCAGCTACATGGTTTTTACTGCAGGAGACAGATTCATTTCTATGTAACCAAATGCCAAGAAGAGCATAGGTCTACAAAAAAAATAGTTTTTCCAACAAATGATGAATCATTTTCCTGTCCTAAATTCACTATTTCAAAATCAAACAGGAATAATATTATACAGTATCTTGGAAGACATATCTGCTCTTTCCACTCTTGTCCTCTTTGCCCTTTTTATTTTGAGAGTTGGGTAGGGGGCATGCTATCAGGGAGTGCCAGATGGATATTAAAATAATGCCTCTAAAATATTGATAAATCAAGTACAAATATAAGGAAATTTATTTAATAATTGTTTCTGATGTGCAATTTAGGAGATTTAAGTAGCATTTTCATGGGGTAGAAACAGTTAATATTCCAGGACTAATTTCCAGAGTTCACATCAACAGTCCATGCATAACATAATGTAAGATGTATTTAAATACCCAAAAGTAATTTCATCAGGCAATGAGCCACGGTGTCTTTTCCATTTGTTCTTAGTCAGAACACACTCACTGGTTCACTCAGCATCTATCACTTTTATTTTGTATCAGATACTCATTGTCTAAAGTAATAATGGATAAGTGATCCAAAGAATAGAGTATTGCTTTGAGCTGCTGACACATTGCAGAATGCTGTGTTATGCAGGACTGTACTGCTAGCCAAAATACCCACGTTCAGCTCTGAGCTCTTTGCAGATAGCATGTCATTGCTCCCACATTTCTGTATAAAATGTATTGTATAGTGGATGATTAAAAATGGAAGGCTTTCTCATTTTATTCAATAGAGTAAGAAATGGTATCAATGTATGCTATGTTTAATATTAATCATATCCCTACATATACACGTTTTTCATGAAGTATAATTAAAATCTTGCTTTTTATTTCTTTGATGTAAAGTGTTTTTAAATAATAACCAATTTGAGACAAAAAATAGACTTCTTTTATGTTTTTATGTGAATTGTTTGGGATGCAAATTTGCATTAAGTAAAATTAAAGTTCTTCAGGGGGGAAAAAAAAACTATCTCACCAAAATGCTACTGATTAATCAGTAAAGAAGATGGTCAAGGAAACACCTTTTGCAATTTTACCAAGAATCTGAATATGTGATTATTTTCAAATGTGCTCACATTAAACACAAGAATAGAAACCCAGGAGAGATATATCTTTATCATCTGTCTGATAATGCCATCATTACATGAATGTCGTGGCAAAGTAGACACAGTTTACTACAGAAAACAGATAAGACACTCTTTTTTTTGTTGCCACACAAAAGGCACAAATATGGGTGTATTTTGAAATATAGGAAATATATATATGTGAGCGTGTGTGTGTGAGTGTATAAGCATAATTTTTAAGAGATACAGACCCTAGAGTTTCAATTAAATGGAGTCTTCAGTTCAGGGAGAAGATAGGGTATATTGGTTAAGTGAATTTGTAAGTCACCAGATTTTGGGAATCCCGTTGGCCTTATGGAGTTCTATATGCTCTTTCCTTACACACGGTTAGACACAAATATTGGTTTTCTCTGCTGCTTTATTGCATACAATGCAGAGCCTATGTCTGCATCTTTCATTATTTGGAAACTTGAATTTCTTCAGGGTGCTAACTGTAACCAGTAGCCTAGATCCAAGATTTCCCTTTCCAAACCACATAGCAGACCCCACCCAGTAAGTGAGAGAAGTGGGGAAACAGACCTAAGCTACAATGTTGTTCTGTGAGTGGATGCAATATAAAAAGATGTGCAGTATTGTAAAATTGTCTGGGTATCTGAAAAATACTGTTTTCTAGACTTGAAGTTGTGGGAGATTACATAAAATGCATACTACCTCATGGTATTTTTGCTTGCTCTTACTAAATATTAGTATTATTATTTGCTTATCCACACTACAGATTGAGTGTGTCCATTATTTCAGTGTGGCTTGTGGAAAGTTCTTTCTAACTGAATTGTAGACAGTTGATGCTTTTCTATAATTATATTTATAAAAGATCATAAACAGCCTCATCTCTGCTTGGAACTGCCTTGAATATCTTCTAGAAATTTGGTATAGCAATAGTCATTTAACCATAAAGACTTTTCTTGACCTGTAATATTAGCTAAGATTTTAATTGGATAGTTTGCTGCATGATAACATAAAATAAATATATTTCATTAATTTTGGTGTTGACAGTGTTTGAATATTTGAACATAATTGCCACTGAAAGTCACTTACATTCAGCACGCAAGAGTTACTATTCTTTCTCTCTGGTGAGGAAAATTCTGCTGGCCTTTATATTAGAAGAGAA